GTAACGAGTACACCGACGATTAGGGTGTTAAACCGTGTCTCGACAAGGTAGAGGACCCTAAAAGCAAAAGATGAATCATATGAGTCACATTGTCTAGGTTAGGTTTTCCATAAGATACGCCGATTGTTCAGCATATTAAAAGCATTCATATTACCAAAGTTAACCAGGGTATGGGAAGTGGCTTGTTGGGAGATCTACCTCTTACATACCTCTTATATATTTTCGATAGAATAAACTTCTTACAAAAGCCTTGGGTTTAAATTGGACGGATTTCAGTATACTGCGAATATTGACGTTTGCTAGACATGTATTTGAGGGAGGAAAATTATTAGTGAATAAATGTGTCTCATAGTAATCTTTCGTCCAGTGGGAGGATTTCTCTAGTTCTAGTTCCGATTTACTCATTAGTGGCCAAAGATAAAATATTTCACTTAAACCTGCTGACATACTATTTTTACAATATTTCATCCGCGCCGTTTGCACTACCGTTAGATATCTTCATTGAATTACCAAATAATTTATCAGCCAAAATTTGGCGTTAACCAGTTTATTTAAACGCACATTTAGTTCATTCAATTTTCAGTCTCATGCTTATTTGTATATGTTCGCATTCTAAAACTATTTCTTTCTTCAACGATATAGCTATAAAGTGTATCGCTTGGTCTGTTATTAAGTTTTCGTCGTTTTAGCTTAAGCTATTTTTTACTAATCCACGCCATTGTCATTACACTTTTTAGTATTCGCGTTCAAAATTTACTTTAAAGTGAATGTTCAAATAGCAAGCGGTATTTTACGTACTTTGGTGGTTTTCCGGGAGCTGGGTGTGATTCCATCCTAGCCAAGGCAACCATGTTTGCGATTGTTCGAATTGGCACACCGGACAAAATTGGCATTCCAAGGCAAAGACCCATTATGGGGAAAATGATGTTCGCAAGGAAATGGTCTACGACGATTGGGCTTTTCTTCTTTGACAGTCCTCGCAAGGGTACAATACTAAAGCGACATAGAAATTGAGATTTATGGAACACAAGCAAGAACCGTGTTTTAATTTTTTGTCTAATACATCAATCAAAAACATAACATGCATTAAACGTAAAGAGAAATGGTCAACGTATATGGGGTCCTTTTATACTCAGCAGATTTAACATAGTATATGGACTGAAGCTTACTGAAATTGCTAGATTCTCGGCGAAGAATGCGAATTAAATTTAGCACTAAGAACTGGCAGTTGCACAGTGGCAACCGACATCAGACGAAACAAAGTGACGCATCTGATTAATCGACAAGTTCTTTGTAAGTGAGCAACAATAGTTTGTGCAACCTCCTAGTTTTGCAGAACATAGCCTGACTTGGCACAGTTTATTATGTGATAGCTTTAGGGAGAAATCTTCGGTGCCTTAACTATTTCATTTATAAAACCACGTGCACGAAGTTGTTTTCTTGTGCGTTTTCTTATTAAAATTCCTTTTATTTATTAAGGGATGCTTTTGTTTAAGTCCTTAATATCACTCTCGATTTTATTGCTACACATAGACGCCGCGAAATAAATTTGGCGAGTAGTTTATTAGTGTGAGTGTGCTCCTGCATGTCCATGGTGACTTCGTACGCTGGGTAAGGTCGGACTCATTCATTTTTGCAACTGTAACTTATTAATACTTGCTGCACACTTAGTAAAATCAGCTAAAAGGAATAAAAACAATTTCAAATTTTATGTTTTACTCCGTTCACAAACATCTTAGAAGCCTGTTAAATATTCCACTCGAAAGCTCGTGCCTAGGCATGGAAACTTACCTGTTCAGTGCTATCTCAACAAAGATGAGAATACCAAGAATAAAGCCAAAAATCACAGCGCGTCCGTGGGCATAAGAGGCAGAAGCAGTGCCGTAGTTTGTCATATTACTAAAGTTCGGTATGTTAAACCAGGTGGAGTAATTAAGTTCAGTCACTGGTGGGATCTTGAGCCGTTTGATATCATATGCCCAAAAGAATATCCGATTCATGGCAGAAATTGCAATCATCCCAAGTGGAACATTCATGGCTCCGACCCAGAAGCGTACCTTTTGAAAGAAAGAAAGAAATAGGCCGTAGAAGGAAACTTCCAAATACTGATATGGACAAACCAAGTGACTTAAATAATGCATTCTTTTGAGGAAGTTTTCGTAAGCAAAAATTGTTTGTGAAGGTGAATGATGCCTGCAAAATGAGATGATTTCGTCAGGGTTCACATATTTTGTAATAGGATGGTAACAGGTACGCACAGCCAACCATATCCGTGCGTATTTTTCAGTTCATATATGATATTGACTGCCTACTGTTTAGATTAGAAGCACAAAGTAATATAATTGGTTTCAGCTGATGTTAAGTATTGAATGCTGGAGCTCCGTTTCGACCCAAACGTCTGTGTACTTGCCGTCGGCAACAGAGCAATGCAGACAGTAATGAAGCATTTAAGCTCCGTGTAACCGCAGGCTTTCATGACAAATAATTACAAAGTCGATGAGGGCACAAGCCTACGAATTGAGGTGGATGTTCGCGTCGCTGGTGCATAGATAGGTACAGAATAAGAAGACATGTCGATCACCGGACTCATAGTTGCTTGTTTTCCGTTGATGGTTTTAACTCAGACGATGGATTCCAGTAAGATTTCCAAAGCTCAGACGAAAAAAACCATGATTTCGGTGATCGA